TTTTTTTTTTTTTATCAGTTTTTCAAACCTTGCTCCAGGACTACAAAACTTTTAAATTTTGTGGCTTAATAAGAAGGCATCAAAATTAAATAAACTCTTAGCCTACAGGGCTATTCTTTTCACATATTCTAAACATTTACATATCTTAACCTCTATGAAAATTTTAGTGTTGATTCAAAGGTTCGTTTCGGAAATAAAAGAGTTTAAAATTTATCCCTTGCCAGATAGAGCGATTTTCAAGTGAGTGTCGAAAGTTATCTGGCAAGCAATTTGGTTTTGGTTTGACTGCGGTTTGAGATTGTTGGCTGAGTAGTCTAACTGGTAAGAAATTGGGTTGGTTTTGTTTTTACGACACTCAATTGAAAACCACTCTAAACTGTGTAAAAACGGATAATGTTATTTCATTTTTCTATTTTCAGAACCGAAAGTAACTTAGGAGAGATATTGTGAAAGTAAATGATTTTAATCGTAGAATCTACCACCAAATTCAGAGAAGACAAAGAACTGCACTAAAATGCAGGCTGCCCACAGCGTACTGTAATCATCTCAAAGTTATTCCCGCAATAATTCAGCGGATACAAAAATAAACAAAATCTTTATACGAGGGCCTTGAAGCTATGGCGGAAACGAATATCTGTTGCCTCATTTTTTTTACTGAAACAAATCAGTCCAAATTGTAGCTTCAATTTTTGGTCTCCTCGGCATCCTCTTAGTGGCACTAACCTGAAATTATGTACAAACAAAGGACCACTGACATAAAAGTTTCACCATTTTAACTAACAATTTATATACAGTCTGTATCTTCCACATGGTCTCTGAAAATTGACCTTTCAACTTCCAGGCTTTGCTATCAAGATCGTTTATTAATTTTTATAATTACTTTTCCTTAGCCATGATAAAAACTATGAGATATGAGCCTTCTGTTGATCGAATGTGTACACATGATTCAGAATTTTGATGAATTTTCATTAAAATCAACACACTTTGTAGTCAGGTACGTTTTACAGATTTGTGTTCGTAATTATTTTTCCGAAAACAAAAATAAAATCTGCATTCAAATATAAACATTTGAATTCTTTTGAAATCTTCTCGTTGTCACAGCAGGATCTTGGAGGTGTTGGTAAGACAAATTCAATAGAATCATTGTCCCTCGGGAAAATAAATCATGAGGTCATACGTCGTGTTGACCCATGAAGGCTGTCAGAGATGCTTTATTAACTGAATTACATCTTCTGTCCCAGTTTTCTCGAACACAGATACATGTATCTTAAAGTAAAATTGAACAGTTAACCACTATCGCATTTCGCCTTTCATAAAACGTTTCAGTCCTTCACAGATCAACGTTACATTCACAAGCGTCAACCAGCATTTTTGAATGACCACGTTATGTTCACCGCATTCAAGTTCACAGTCTCCTCCGAAAAACAGACACTACTCTTTGGACAGCTGCTAAAGTGTTAAGGGATAAACAGGTTGCCAACGCATTATAAGCCTAAAAAAAACCTGACACGATTGAGGTCCGGTTCACTGACATGGTCAGTGGAGTGTTGCAAACTGCACACGGCTCTAAATACAACTTTAAGGTTCTAGAGAAATTCAGTATAATTTCAAGTTTTCACCAATCAGTTTCATACCAGGTCAAAAGTATCATTTGAAAGTAATCGTAAATTTATCAGAATGCTGAAAGCAAACTGTTTTTTTTAGCTCGTATATTGTCAAAACAGTGTTATTTCCTCGTCAGTAGAACTGAACTGAGGCGAATGGTCCCTTCCACGCAAGTGCAGCTCTGTTGGTGGGTTTTCGTCGATGCGTTTTCGCCCATCTTACACAGTGATACGAGAAGGTTCCATTTTTAAACTTCCACACTCTGGATAGCGTTTTCGAATGTATGCGGCGTTTTCAATCGGTGAAAACGATGATCGTGTTTGATCGCACCAATTTGTGGCGAAAACGCGTCAACAAAACTCAATCATTACTTGAAATATTTAAGCAGCCTACTCAAAAGTCTTGGTCATTTGTTCTGACCCACAATAATATCATATGGCTAATATTATTCGCCATAATTAATATCTACTACCTGATATTCTTACAGGCTCTTCAAGGCATCATTACATTGGAAACTAGTGGTTAACACCTTTGACTCAGGCTCTAACTTGTTCTTGATGAAAATTTACTCAACTTTCTCTCAGTGAAGGCTATCCGTCTTTCGTTAGTCTAAATTTCTTGTTCTTTCAACGACTCTAGTATTTCAGGGGAACATTTCAAGACCAATGTATCCCATCATTGCTTAAATTAAAGCCTGACAATTAACAACACAACAATTGATGAGTTGAGAATTGATCATTCATTGCTTTTTGCGTTAGGATTTTCGCAACTTTCGGATGTGATAACGAAGTATTCAGGGCTTTGCATTTTCGAGATTCAATCACAAAACTTATTAGATACTGATTACATTTATAGAATATTTAAGAAATCCTAGCCATTACATTCCTTTGAGTCAATCAAATAAGTCTGTTGTGCACGACACTCTTATTTCTGAATATTAATGTTAGCTAAAACACATCTCGTTTGGCTTTTACATGAATCGAAAGCTTTTCTCACTTGCCTGTCTTTGACGGAGTCTCGCTTACTTCTCCCGCGCCGGGAATACGTTTTAACGTCCTTTACAGCAAACAGAACTTGGAGCTGTTAGTGTTTTCTTATGGAAATATTTGAGATGCGTATTCGCAGTTCAAAACGTCCAGTGACACACAAAAGCCGCTCTGCTTCGCTAGCGATGATTAATTAGACTTTAAAATAATCATCTTCAGTGGTATCAGGCATTTTTCCAACCCAGGCCGAGACTAAAACAATCATTGAAATCAGTGTGAATTTTCAAGTACTGTTCAATGAGCACTTAACAAGAAGAAAGCATATTAGCTTTTTGAAAATATATAGTTGAGAAAGCAGGAAATCCAGCAGGGGGAGGAGGGCTTCAGACAAACGAACGACAACAAAATTCAACATGCAGCACCATTGTCACGGTTGTAGCTCTTCGCAACTAAAGCGAGCAATAGGAAGTCAAAATTATTTGTTTCTTTGGAGTTTAACATTGCTTCACTCACCAAGGGTCATTTAGATCTTGATTCCTGATCAGCTGAGTAACTGCTACACAACTGTGTATTTTGAATCGGTATTACGCGCTGCTAGTACTCAAAGTAGCGAGAGAATCAAACCCGCTGTGAGCAAACGAGTCGCAATAAACATCTTACTAGGTAGGTAGGTAAATGCATACATCAGAGATGAAATTTTGTTGAGGTAGGCGGTAGCGTAAACTTGTTTTTTGAACTTTTACCTTTGCAAGACTTGAAGGGATTCAAAAATGATCCGAACAGTATATCAAGCAAAATAATAGAGGAAGTTGGCCATAGAGCGTAAAAATAAATAAAGTATAATGTTTAGAGAAGCCTTAGCTGGTCCTCTATCCTGGTCGAATTGGAATTTGGAGTGTTGGTTTGTTGGTTTTTGTCTGAGGGAGGAAAACCGGAGAACCCGGAGAAAAACCCTCGAAGCAAGGCGAAAACCAACGACAAACTCAGCCCATGCAACACCAGGCCAGAATCGAACTCGAGCCATTTGGCATGGTGGGAGGCGAACGCTCTCATCACTACACCATCCCTGCTTCCCAAGCTAGTTATCTAGTTGTTATCATTAAAAACTGCTCTGAGCAAATACTTATTTTCTAGGGTTTTTTTTTTCACGTTTAAGAAAGGATTAGACTCAAGATCGAAAAAAAACCCTGTGATTTTTAAACCTTTCAATATCCTATCGAATAATGGCAAAAATAATGGTAGGATTCCAATGTTTCGTCAGGCCAATGGACATAGAAGTTAACGTTCAGAACTCGCAGTCATAGCGTTAGAATTCCATCTACTCTCTCCTCTATTTAAATAGAGAATAAATCAGAATCATATATTTATAATGGCTTACCATATTTAAAAGAAAATCAGGAATTTACTTAAACAATCACCTTTGGAAGTCAGTTTTGTTTCAAGTTAAATTCTGTTCCCACTAATTAGGTCCTTGATGGGGGTTAAAACAATTCAGAACTAATTCAGTGCAACCTCGTTATCTAGCTAGAAGTTTGATCCATCTTAACTTCTCTTCTGGTACTTAAAATATCGAAGTTTCATGTCAAAAGCCCCCCCGGGGGGGGGGAGGGGCGCATTCCCTCATATGGGCTATATGGGTATGTGCGGCCTCAAAGGGTATGGTTTTT